GGGGGATAGAGAGTCGACTTAGCACTACAATCTCCAGACAAATCAATACTGACTCTCCTTATTTCTCTGTCCCTCCTTTTCTCAGGGTGTTTTCTTTCATTCCTATCTATAGTGACGTTAATTTTTTACGTTTTTATTTGTGTACGTGTGCTATTCTGTCTGTGTCCCAATTTTGTATGTCGGTCTGTCTGTCTGTTTGCCTGTCTGTCTGTCTATCTCTCCCCCCTTCTTCCCTCTCTCTTCCCCTCTCTCTCTCTCTCTCTCTCTCTCTCAGTCACTCTCTCCCTCCTCCCCGTCTCTCTGTCCTCTGTATTTTCAGTTTCTTTCTCTCTGCCTCTCTTTTTCTGCCAATCTATTTTCGTCTTCTCCCCCCTCCCCTTCCTCTTCCATCTCTTTCTCTCTTTCTCCCCTTCTCTATTGATGGGTGTTCGCGGCGTCATAGATCGATGTCCCACCATTCCAGAGTTTAAATAGACTCTGCCTCGACTTTTTGTATGGAAGTGACCCATTTGAAATACATCACTGCCGAGCAAGCTACATTCAGCTGACACAAGTTATCCTTTACTTTTGATCCCACTGATCACACATATCCCAACTGCTTTCATTCATCCTTTAGCTTTTTTTATGAAAAGAACCCCCTCTTTAAAAGACAACAACAAAGAAAGAAACAAAAACAAACGAACAAACAGACAAGCAAACAAAAACATACATACATACAAACAAAACAAAAAAACGGACATCAACATTTCAACATTTCCCTTTCGGTTTTTTTTTTTTCTCTTTTGTTTTTTCCGTTTCTTTTGTTTCCTTATTATTTTTGTCTGCTTTCCAGCACCACTGAGTAGTTTTCGCGTGCGGATGTCTATTCTGTAAAACTACTTTAAAATTATCTTAGTCCAGACGTTTCCATTTTCCTGCCGACCTCAAACACAAGTTAACGAGTGGCGGCTGACTTAACGCGGATAGCCAAACCAGCAGTCTGTCCTCCCACTCGAAACTGCGAAAAGTTTCTGTATGGTCAAATTTTGATTATGATTTTGACACCCCCCCCCCCTTCCAAAAAAATCGTTTTGACAATCAATCTAGTTTAAATTCAGTGATGAAAAAGTGTGATGTCTTGTTAAACTATTTAGCTGAGCTTATACATACATTATAATGTAGGCCTACTGTGTTTTAGAGTCAAATGTTCCCCTCATAGCGAAAACAGAAAAAAGCACGTAAATCAATCATTTTAACCACACTCTGGGTTCGTTTAACGGTACCACCTAAGGCTTGCTTTTAACAACTACCACCCTAGAATTACAAAGTTTTATCTACTCAGCACCTAGTTTTGAGAAATTTGACGTTAAAAAATCTGAGTTTCACAACATGAAGTAGAGCTTTTTCGGGTACAATTCTTTAAATACCTTGATAACGACTCCGAATAATCTTACAATTTTGATAGAGCAGATAGAACATTGGCTTTTAACTCAGTAACTCAAAACGACCAAAAATGTCAGATAAAACTTTGTAATTTTGAGGTGGCGTATTGTCTAGCGAAAACGCTTTACGTTGGATATGGATTGCTTCCTGTCAGACATAGAAAGTGTTAATTTCGCAAATATGTAATAGCCTACATGCCTTGTGTCGCTCTTTGGCTACCTCGAAAGAGCTAAGGGGTTCCCTTTTGTCTAATTTCGGTTAATCAGTTTGCCCCAAACAAGCAGAATTGAATAAAACTTAAATCTACTTGAAATTCGATTAAATGCAATGATTATTATAGGTTTGCATATAAACCACAAACGGACATCTGTCCAGAATCTCTGTAATTTTCTGGCTATGCTACGGTCAATTTAGATGTATTGCCGTATGGCAACTTTTTTTTTTTTTTTTAAAGTATCTAATCGAAAATGTCATTCTAGCCTACCCATCGAATTTTTTTGGGAAACGATTTTTTTTATATTACATTTCCTACAGCTTCGCTACTGGAAAGCGAGTGAGGAGTGGAAGAACAAGAAAAAAGAGGTAGAAATTATTCTCGGGGAAGACCTTCAGAGCCACGGGCCACAGATCAAAGTGGCCCTCTCCGATCTCCCCGCCTACACCACTTTGAGAGCCCAAGTCGCTGTTATGAACAGCCACTACACTGGGCCCTTCAGTGATGAGTTGGACTTCTTCACGCAAGAGGGCGGTGAGTAGAGGGATAATAATATATTATTATTATAGTAGGTTTGTGTTGCTATACCAATCTCTCTCTTTCCGTCTCTCTTTGTCTCCTTCTATCTCTCTCTGTCTCTCTGTCTCTCTGGTCCTCTCTCCCTCTCTGTCTCTCTTTCTTTTTCTCTCTCTCCCTCTCTCTCCCTCT